TGAACCAGGAATAGAACTTAGGACCTTGTGCTTGCCAGGCGGGCGCCGTTTTGTCTGCACTTCAACAAAAATTATGGCGTGGACTTGCTTGTCTCTTCAGTTGTGGCCTCAGAGTGAGTCAGCTTGTCTGAGGTTGGTGTTCTGACCTGGTGTGTGGGTGTGTGTCTAACAAGAGCTAACGGCCAGCGGAGGCTTCTGAATGCCAGGCTGCTCTCTTCTTTTCAAGAAGTCAGAAGGGGGTTGTTGAGGCAGCGGGCTCAGTGTGTGTGCCGCGGGGGTCACCATGCTCCGCGCTGACTCTCTCGCTGGTGTCTCCCGCTGGAGTCCAGTACACAGGCATGCCTCCTCTCAGTGATTGTTCAGGTGGTATTTTCTGGCAAGTTAGTCAAAGCAGTGAAGCAAGTGAATTAGAGAAAAACCTTTGGGAAGGAAGAGACAAATTATTTTTCGTGTTTAATTGTCTGCCAAGCTACCCAAGAAAGCCAACAGAAAAATTAGCAAGAGGAAAGCTTAATAAGTCAATCAGTTAACATAATCAGTGTGCAGAAATTTGATTATCCTTCAGAACCAGCATCAAGAGACACTTCTTTTGAAAACTAGGGGTTGAACTCAGGACCTTTGCACGGAGTGCCCCCCCCCAGCCCTTTATTTTTATTCTGAGACAGGGTCTCGCTGAGTCTTCAGGCTGCCCAGTTGAGCCTGCAGTTTGGCCCTTGTGCCCTTGCCTTCTGCACTGCTGGGACAGGAATGTACCACCGGGCACAGCTGGAAAACACCAGGGTTTAAAGGGCGTTAAAGACAGAGACTAAACTATCTAGAAGTTAACCTATAAGCATCCACATAAATTAAAATGGTAAACTTCACTGAGCGGCTTGAAGGCAAAGTTGATTAATATGGTACAGATCCCATTCTTGGCTGGCATATCTCAAGAAGCCTGTCGCTTCTATTCTAATAAAAATGTCAAAATATTTTTTTTTAACTAGATGATACAATTCCAGTCACCTTGGAAGCCTAATATAAAAGGATGAAAAAATAATTTTGGAAGATTGAGGGGTGAGTTACACAGCGAGAGAGAGAGAGCGAGAGCGAGAGAGAGAGAGATTATTAAAGCAGCATGAGTTTTCATAAGAAAATAAAATAGCCGCCCCCCGCCCCCAGGTTTGAGTGTGTATGTTTGGTATAGGACAAAGGTGGAATTTGAATATATGTACACTTCCTCTTAGGATAGAGCGAGCTGCAAGACACATCACCCTCCCCAACAAAGAGAAAATGACAAGTAAATGACAAATTCATTACTTTTCTTGCACCTGCCTTGGAGACAGATGCGGTTGTGAGAGGGCAGCGGAGGACAGAGTGGGCTGTAGCCTCGGCACCCAGGACGCGCCGCCCTGTGCCCCCAGGAGCGGCTGTGTCGCGGAGCCCCGCGTGGTGGCGCGCAAGCCTGCGCTAGCTCGCGCAGCTGCCGCCTTCACCGGCTTTTACAGAGGTTTGTGGGGTAGGACGCTGCACGGTGCAATCCAGGGCCGCCGGGGCACAGGATGCCCGCGCTTCTCTATTCTTCTCCTCTAGGACGAGGAGCCTTGGGCCCCGAGGGGTGGAGTGCAGCTCAGGTGTCCCAGAGCTCAGAGGAGACGTGGGGCGCACAGGGCGGAAGAAGCTCCAAGCCCTGCCCACCTTCCTGAAAACTTCTCCCTGTGCAGTTTCCCTCGGATTACAGACTGAAGTCTCAGGCAGTCTGGCTCTCAGGGTACGGTAAGGGAGCAAAGCTCAGCAGATGCCTGAAAAACTAAACGTTAGCGCCTTATGATTAAAAAAAAAAAAAAAAGTCGCAACAAACTTCAGTTTAGTTACAGCCAGCATTAAACCCAACATTGAAAACCCGAATGCACAAGTTGTGGTGTCCCAGTCAGGTGCCCTCCTGTGGGAGGAGCTCAGAGGAGTGGGCTCCCGAAGGAAGCCAGGTGCAGGCTCTGTGCCGCAGGGTCACTGCTGGTGTCTTCATTTTGGGAAAAGAAAAAACTATGGGGCCGAGAACAGAGGAGCTGCCAGGGCCTGGTGCAGGGCTGCGGCTTGGGACAGCACTGTAGGACCCAAATGTACTTTTGGGAATAATAGAAACAAGGGTGTGGTGGCGCACGTCTGTAATCCCAGCAGGGGTCGCTCCTCCCAGCACTCCAGAGGCTGAGGTAGGAGGATCCTTGTGAGTTCAAGTGGGTTACAAAGTGAGCTCAAAGCCAGCCTGTATAGTGAGACCCTGTCTGTCTCTGTCTCTTTTTTTTTTTTTTATTTTTTTTTTTTTTTTTGAGAGAGAGAGAGAGTGGTGTGTGTGTGTGTGTGTGTGTGTGTGTGTGGCCAGCTCAGCCCACCAGGGGGCGGGACTGGCTGGCATGTGGTGCTGGGGGATTGAACCGCGGTCCCTGATGCCTTGCCAAGCTTGTTCTAAGTAGGTGCTTTAGACCACTGAGCCATCTCTCCAGCCCCTCTCTGTCTCATACACAGGAAGTTCTACCTTATGTCTTGGTGGTGACTGTACATTTGTAAAATTTCAGTGCTCCTATGAAAGATGAGTAAATAAGATTTGAAGAATGGTTCAGGAAGAAATGATGTGCCGTACGACTCATAGTAGCTAAGTCTTAGGAGCAGCCACACAGGGCCATAAACAGGTGACTAGACAAAGAAACCATGGTGTTCATAAGCGATGGAGAACTACTCTGCCATGAAGACGGATAGACAAGTCATTTTTAGGAAAATAGATCACCTCGATGCCATAATGTGTTAAGTGCAATCAGATACACGTGCTCAAATATTGACATGGCTGCTCTTTTTTTTTTTTTTTTTTTTTGTGGAATCAGGGATTGAACTCAGGCCCTTGCGCTTGCTAGGGTAGCACTTATCCCACTGAGCCATCTCCCCAGCCCCGACATGGCTTCTCATATATGAGAAGGTATTAATACGTTAAAGAGCAACATGTAAGATACGTAATAGGAAACGAGCTAGACGTTTCACGCACGGGAACAGCACCAAGAGACGGCTGCAGGCTGCATCCGTAGCTGGCTTGGGTGCCTCCTTCTGTCTTGAGCTCCCTGCTCTGATGGGGCTCCAGGGCCAGGCGAGGGTGTGAAGTGCAGCCTTTCTCTTAATGATTTGTTTTCGTTTGAGCTCAGGGTGCTAAGGGTCTGTGCCTGGGAGGCAGAGGGGGTGGTCTAAGAGAAAAGCGCAGACTGTCTCTGGCTCTCAGCAGCAGCCTCGAGCCCTCGCCTCTCCATATCATTTTGGTGGACTTCAAAGGCTTTTGGGCTGTCTATGCTGTCATCTTGGTGTAGAAGGACTGGCTTTTCATCCCAGCATCCTGGACCTTTGCTGCACACCCAGCTGTACCAGACAAGCTCCGTTCTCTGAATACATGGCATGCTGTTTTGTGTCTCATAACCACCACGTACCAATCTCTGCGCCAAAGGAGTTAGCTTCTGCTCGTAACAAGCCTGTAGGCTCAGATGCCAAGCCCGAGGCTCAGAGAAGTGAGACCACCCCACGAGGGCCACATAGCCAGTCAGCGGCAGAGCCAGACTTTGAATGCGGGTTTAACCCCGAAGCCTAACTTACTTAAAAAAAAAGTAGCAACATATAGCTAAGATAAAATTGGTCACATTAGCCACTGCCAAGTGGGAAAATCTGCTGTATTAAGTGCACTTATCTTGCTCTGCCACTGTCCCCACCATTCGTCCTCAGAGCTTTCCCACGTGTCCCAAGGAAAGGCTGCAAACTGCTCTGGGTTGGGGAAAGCTAGAAGATGGGGTAGCAGTTGCACCGTGTGACCTGGAAGGGTTCCCCTGCCCCAGGAGCACAGCTGGGACTGAGAGAACGGTCCGTGGGTTCTCTTGGGGGAAGAGTATGTCTAAGTTCCGTGCTCCATTCCTGCACTGGGGTGTTTAAGATGGTTTGAAAAACTTTGTTCTGCAAAGGCTCTCTTCATAATTCTTGAAATGGACAGCCTGTTTTTGGGTTTTATTTGCTAGCAGTATGGTTATTGTGGCACGTTGCAAAACCAATAGACACCAAAACCAAAGGGACATGTTGGAGTACTTTATTAGCTGAGCTCAGCGGCAACACTCTCCCTAGAAAACTGACAAGAGTGCGCACCTCGCTGGAGCGACACACAGTTTTTAAAGCAGAAAATCACAAAAGTAGGGGGAGGAGGGGGGAGGTTTACAGAGTTAGTCATGACTGAGGGTTAACTTTTTGTTCTCGTAGACAAGGTCATATTTTGTAAACCCTACAGGAATATGTCCTTATTTGGCTTAGGTGTTATTTTTGTTCCGGTAGTCAGAAGGGCATCTGATAACGGCTTAACCCATTGTTAGGTGTTCTATTTGTTCCCCTAATCGGAAGGACAGTATAACTCATTTTGC